TAAAAATGTATTTTTTTATATTTCAAAGATTTTGTTTGCATTTTTTTTTTAAATTAAATTAAAGTAAGCAATTGATCTCTCCAACTTCTTAAAAACGATTCAAGTTCATTAAGTCGAATTTTAAAAAAAAAAATTATCACGATGCGTCAATACTTTTTGGAGCCATTGTACATTTCTACATTGTTAAACGATTGTTAGGGCATTTTCGTATCATATTTTTCCTTTTTTCATCTGGCAAACGTTCAAATAGTTTTTATCAGCATCGTGTCGGAAATGAACGGTCGGTAATTAAAAGTTAAACTTTTGGTGAAATCGTCGAATCTTTTTCACGGCGAATACTCGTTCCAGTTCTTGCGATGGAAAGATTAAATTTTACCGAAATTCGTCGATAAGAGATGTAACATCATGCGTAGAAGAAAAAAAAAAAAAAAAGAAAGAAGAGATAATTGTAAAATATATTTTACACCTTGTTGTAAATCAACGATACAACGAATGTGTTTTCGTGTTGTATCATCGTTAAATTCGATACTCTGTGTGAATTGCACACTTGACAAAGTTAAATTGCTAATATTTTACCAGCTTTACTGTTTTTAGCTCTTTTAATCAACTGTTCAGTTCATTCTACTGTCCTTTATTAACATCTAAACTATAATTCTAACAAAATAAGTTTATTATTTATAAAAATATATATATATTTTTTAATTAAATTATAAAACTTTTAATTCATTAAAATTTTTAAGAAGTATAAATACATACATTTTTTTTAAAATAATTGCAATTTAATTTTTATTAATTTAATTTACAAGAAGAAGATATTTGAAATATTCGTATTTCGCAATATTTAAAATAACAGAACATTCCTGATATTTCTGTATTAATTCTACAATGGTAAATTAATTCAATTCTATCTTATTTCTCTCACTTTCAAGATTAATGAAGTTGAAGTTGATGTATTTGAAAAATTGAATGAGAATTAAAAGTAATCTTAATTAAAATAAATACTTAAATTATAAACTTAATATTTCTCTAAATAAATTCCATGTATTTCGTTGATTTGAATTTTTGTCATCGAAAATATACCTAAATACAAATTATTTATTAAAAATGAAATTAAAAAATGAAAACTCAATTGATTCAAGAATACCTTCGATATTATAACGATTAAATTTATTTCTTTTTTATTTGAATTTTTGGAATCAAAAATATATCGAATCATTCGCATAGAAAAAAATAAAAAAAAAATCTCCGAATTACGCGCTACCCAAACCCTTACATATCCAACGCGTACATATTGCACAATACAATATTCAGTATTGTGCAATACTTCCGTTCAAAATATCCTCCAATATCGTTACATGCAAATCTCTCTCGGAATACTTTCAACCCCGCAATACCAATTTCGTTCAACTTTCTTTTTTATTCAATTTTCGCGTTCATTCTGGTTTCGTGGCGTCAATGGTTCCTTCCCTGACTCCAAAATTAACTGCGTCGATACGCGAATTGCATTCGTAACAAGTAACTGCCGGCCGATCCGCCACTGCATTTTAATTACGCGTTATTATACGTCCGACTGGACCAATACAGTGAGATATATATATATATATTCGAGGGTGGAGGAAGATTGGTCACGAGGCTTCTTGTTCACGAATTCGAATTAACGTGCATTGATTTCGTATAATTTTCCGAA